CAAGCCCCCCAATCCACTCCCCAAGTCCTATCTGCTCTACCTCCAAATGCAGCCCCGCCCATCCACTTCGCTCTTCCTGTCCCTAGGCCACCCGACCACCTTCTCTGGCCTGTTGGACCAGTCTCTGAAGGGGTGTCCCTGCTTCCCCTCTTGTCCTGTCCCAGCTTTTCTCCACACAAAGTGACCCTTTCAAAAATGTGCATTAGAGCAGATCACTCCCCTGCTTACACCCACCATGGCCTCCCCTGGAGCAGAGCCCACCGTGTGCCAATCCCACCAACTGGCCCCTTCACCTGCCAACCCCCTCTCCCCAGCCCCTGCTGTCCCACCGCTTCACGCACGTCCACTGGCTCTTCTCCGTCCACCACGCCTCCCCCCGACCTCCTCCTCAGACGGGCCTGCCCCAACCTCCCCAGTCTGAAGTCCCTTACGAGGCCCCCAGCCCACTCCTGCCCCAGTCTCTTCCAACAACATGACCCACTGCAGTCTCTTCCTGGCGCTTATCCTAAGAGTGTGGGCCCGGACGAGACTGCCCAAACCCAATCCGGCCCTGGGCAGTTCCTTCTCCACCCAATGCCTCCCTCTGCAGTCTGCCAAATGGGGACAGCAAGTCCCTGCCTCACAGAGAACTAGGATGGAACCAAGCAGAGAATGCATGTGAGGCAGCACAATGGCCCAGGGCGGGTCCCCGCAACTATTAGCTGCTATTTCCAGCCTCTAGTTACTTCTTGCTTGGATTGTCCCACTCCCTCATTCAGCACCCCGTGCTGTGCACACTGTAAACCCAGGACAAGTATTATTGAAGGAAAAAATGGACGGTCAAGGAAGTCAGTAAGGACCTAGAGAAAAGCGAGCACAGGCACCTATGTGAGAAGAGGAACTGGAAACCGAGCAAAAGGGAAGGAGAAAAGGTACAAGCGTGCAATGCACCTGTCCCAGACCACACACCCTGGGACGCTGCTGGGAGAGGCAGCGACCATTCATGGCAACAACGGCGCTCATCCTGTTAAGCTGATGCCTGTGAGGGAGGGAACATCAGACCCTCAGCACTCGGTTCCCTGCCTCTGAAGACTCCGTACTTACTCCCCCACCTACGGCCTTGTCTGCGTGAGCTTTACAGCAGCAAACCCTGCCTTCCCATACATACTTTTGTGCTATGTCCTGGTTTGTAATACTTCTTTTTATTTTCATATTAAATAAGAGTATATACCAGAGTGGAGCAAAAGCAGGTTTGTAGTTGTGAGGACACGAAACACATTTATTCCTGTATCATTATTTATTAATTAGTGTATTATTTTCCATATGAACAACTACAGACCTACTTTTGCCCACCCATATAAAAGAAGTGAAGATGTTCTAAGATAAAGACTTCAATGGTGGAAAGGAAACCATAAACTATTATCATCACCAATTTAATAACACCTCATTTACAAAGTGCCTTAAGGTACACTGTGTGTGAGATGTGTGTGTGATGTGTGTGCGAGACGTATGTGTGTGTTTAGATGTGTGTGTGACACGGGGCTATTGCTGGCGTGTCTTCGTTGACACTATAAAGGCGGCCCAGAAGACAGGCTTGCAGAGTAAGAAGTCCATATTGGTGGTTAAGAAACTCAGGTTAGGCGTACTTTTGTCTCAAGTACTTTTGTCTTAGCTTACCGTTCTCCAGTGAGAACCGTCTCTGAATCTGGGTGAGATGATGGACTGTTTGCTAGATGCCATTGTGCATAGAACAACATTATGAGAAGCTACCTAATGCCTAAGCTTTTTAATGCTGTAAAGTATAGTAGCTGAAATTAAATGCCAGTTAATTTTTTCAGAGATGAATTAATGGACAGCCTGGTCAAATTCAGAGCTATTTGATGTATAAAACATTTTATAAGTGAACTATTCCATCAATAGGCAAAGTGTAATTAAACCTATCTAGATGGATAGTATGTAATTTCTGCACAGGTCTCTGTTTAGTGAATACATCACTGTATACTGGTCAGGAATCTTGCTCCAATAAAGGAACATAAAGAGAAAAAAAAAAAAAAAGATGTGTGTGTGAGACGTATGTGTGTGTTAAGATGTGTGTGTGAGACGTGTGTGTGTGTTGTGTGTGTGAGACGTGTGTTAAGATGTGTGTGTGAGACGTATGTGTGTGTTAAGATGTGTGTGTGAGACGTGTGTGTGTGTTGTGTGTGTGAGACGTGTGTTAAGATGTGTGTGTGAGACGTATGTGTGTTAAGATGTGTGTGAGATGTGTTATGTGTGTGAGACTTGTGTGTGTAAGATGTGTGTGAGACGTGTATGTGTGTGTGTCTGTGTCTAGCCCTCAAACTTGACTGATGCTGGAATCACCTGAGGTTTTAACGCTCCATTTGCTGGGGTTTCACCTGCAGAAGTTCTGGTTTACTTGGCCTGGTGTATCGCATGAGCATCAGGATCTTTAAAAGCTCGTCAGTGCCCCCGCTGGTTTGGCTCAGTGGGTAGAGTGTGGGTAGAGTGGACCAAAGGGTCCCGGGTTCGACTCCGGTCAAGGGCACGTACCTCGGTTGCAAGCTCCTCCTGCCTGGGCCCTGGGCCCTAGTCAGGGTGCGTACAGGAGGCAACCAATCAGTGTTTCTCACATTGATGTTTCTGTCTTTCCCTCTCTCTTCCACACTAAGAATCAATGGAAAAATATCCTTGGGTGAGGATTAAAAGAAAAGCTCCCAGAGATTATAATATGCAGCCAGTTTGAGAACCTGATGCATACCAGTACCGCTGGATCCTAACAAAACTAGTGTAAGAGGGACTAAGAGACCTGTCCCACATTCCTGGGGTAGGCAATGGTGGTGCTAGGGCTAGAACCAGTAGTTGCCAAGGAACCGCATTCGAGTAGAAAGCCAGGGGCAGGAGAGAGCTGGGGCCTCACCTTGCAGCAATAGTGCCTGCAGCAGAGAGAGGGCAAGTCGTCATCTGGCTCCAGGGGGCTGACACAGACAGGGCAGTGGTCAGGGCGTGTAGGGGCAGCCTGGGGCTGGGGCACCCGCAGCCCAGCTGCCAGCAGCAATGGCTGGGGGTTATCACTGTAGCTCTGCAGCAGCTGCTCGGCACTCCAGTGGGCATGAGCCAAAAGGTGCTGAGCTACATCTGGCTCCAGGTTCAGCGTCTCCTGCACCTGCCGCACCGTCTGCTCCATCAACCCTTCCACCTCCTGGGGGCTCATGGTGCGGCCTGCAGGCAGCTGAAGGGATGCCAGGGCGGCCACAGCTTCTGGGCTTGTGGGGCAGAGAAGAGTCAGTGGTCAGTCGCCCGGTCCTGCTTATATAAGCTACTAACTGAACCCCACCTTGTCCCCCAGCTCCCTGCTTGCACACCCCTGTCACACTTGCTTAACCAGCCAGAGAATAAGCCCCAAACCAAGTGTCACAGCAGGCTCCTCCACAGAAGCATTTGTAGGTGTGGGGGTTGGGCTGGATGCCAAAGTGACTGCGGGCACCACAGGAATCGAGTGGGTGGGGGTCAGGATGCTAACTGACATACAGGAGATGGGACAGTCCCACTGGAGGTCCCACCCAAATGCCACCAGCATGTCTGTGAGAAAGAGTTTGGTCTGTGGAGCAGCAGCACAGGTACCAGAGGCAGCTCTACCGAAGCAGGATCCGCATTTTAACAAGCTCCTAGGTGATGTATGCGCATGTGAAAGGTGGAGAAATATTCTAGTCTCGAGAACTCACTCTATACCCAGTGCAAGTAACAGGCATGGAAGAGGTGCCCTAAAAACTTCCGGTGAATTGGATCCGATGCAGAAGTTTTAGCCACTTCAGGGACAGCTATGGAAGCCTCCAGAACAGGCTTCCCATTGTAGTTTGTATATTTCACTGAGCAGAGTACACAGCACTCAATACATATTGCATATTTCATCTTTGCTTAGATGAGACATACATAAAGGAGCTCACATGGGTGGGTCCCTTGCTAAGGGCTGACTCTAGGAGGAGGGGGACAAATTAGAGAGGAAAAGAAGGGGTGAAGGCACCAGGAGGAGGAATGAGGACGATCGAATGGGGTAAAATACAGGGAGAGGGAAAAGGGGTTGGACAAAGAAATGACATGTGTTTCCACCAGGGGACCTGGCCCCTCCCAAGTTACTGAGGTGCCATCTGTCATGGGGAGCCCATCTCTACTGCTTGCAGCCCCTGCAGGGGGCGGGAGCTGGGGGTGGCTACCTGGGCTTGGAGGCCTCGGTGGTCTGGCTGCCACAGAAGGGGATCTCAGCCTGGCCCCGGCAGGGCCCCGTGGGCTCTGGGCTGGCGTACATCAGCATCTGGGGCCAGTCATCACGCTGTTTCATGTAGCCCTGGCCCAGGAGGTGCAGGATGCAAGAGAAGACATCTGTGCTGGTACAGGCCACGCCCCCGGCAACAGTGCGGCCCAGGCTCCCGGGAGGGTTTGGGCCCTTCTGCCAGGCCTCCAGCACCTGGATGGGAGGAGGAAACAGGCAGGTCACGTGACCTAGAGGAGCAGCCTGTCTAGGCTCGATGCCCAGCTGTTCCACTTACTAGCTGTGTGACAACGGATAAGTTACTAACTCTCTCAGGCCTCATTTTTCTTACCTGTCAAATTAAAAGGACGACAGTAATAATAATTCTGCCTATCTCACAGAGTGGTGCGGATTAAATGACTTAATAATGCAAACTCTTAGAGTTAGGACCTGGCACAGGGTAAACGCTCATGTCCTGTCTCTACTTTCGGTCTACGGGCCCCGTCAGGGATAGAAAACCCAGACAGAAATGTCACCCTGGGAGGGCTCACACTGACAGTTTACCCTGCCTTGTGGTGACCTCTGGCTCTAACCTCCAACCCCAAGCACAGCTTCCTCCCCGCTCCCCTAGCTTCAGGGCCCCCTCTCTGCCTACCAGACAAACCAGCTGATCAATGTGGAGGCCCTCCTCCCCGTGGGCTTTGAGGATACGGACAAGAAGACAGCTCAAGAGGTTCCTCTTCTGTTCCAGGGTTCGACCCTCATCCTTCTTTACATCCAGGTACTTCTGGGGAGGTATCAGCCACAGGGCCTCCCCACAGGGCCGGAGCGCAGGCTCACGGACTCGCAGCACACCTGGAACTCACTGCCAGTTAGTGCCCGAGGAGGGGGAGGGGCAGAAAGGGGACCCGTTCTCATTCCCTACCACACTACCCCGCCCTGGGGGCCCCACGCCCTGTGAGCAGAGTCTCAGGCCAGCCCCACTGACCTACCCCCATGTGGAAAGTCCGGACCCTCGTGCAGGGTCAAAGGGCCGTGCTCAGAGCTGAGGGGCAGCAGTGCCTGCAGCAGCAGCTGTGGGGTGAGGCCAGAATTCTTCAGCAAGGTTTCTACCGACACCTCCTGGTGAGGAGGAACAGGGACAGTCAGAAGTGGGGAGAAAGGACGGGAGGGGGAACAGAGTTTAGAACAGTGGCAGACAAGGGGGGGGAAGAAGACAGAGAGGCTGAGGAGCTGAGGCACCTCTGTCTGGTTGAAATTCAACAGCAGCCACATCTGCACAGTGGACACATGCAGGGTCTGGTCCCCAAACTGCAGCTCAGCCCGGCCCAGCCACGTCCACTGCAGCCGCCGATGCGGTCCCCGGGCTGGATGGTTCTGACCTGGGAGCATGTCGAGGAGAAGGGTGGAGACACAGAACAGGGGAAAAGGGGGTCAGGCGCTGAGGCGAGGGTCACTATTAGTTAGGTTTGCTCCTGCTAAGCTCTCAGGCCCCAGCATTACAGCCTCCGGAGCGCAGCCTCCCTGGCAAGTCACAGGCATCAGGAAACGCCCCCCCAGCCCCCCCCCCGTGCCCCACCCTGCACGAGACAGGCTCCATGGAAGAAACACCGGAGACCTGGGCTTTGCCCTCAAGGAGCGGACAGATCCTCTAGGCTGGGTCTCTTCCTTGCCCTGTGTCCAGCTCGGGCAAGGCGAGCCTGGCAAGTGCGCTCAGACTGGAGAGCAAGGACGCTGTCAAAGGCAGCGAGTTTCAAACGGAGCCACCTGAGAGGTCTCTCTGGCTACGATGGGACAGTTTGGACGACAAAAGAATGACACCCGAAACCAAGATGGCGGCATAGGTAAGCACCGGAAATTGCTGCCTCCCACAACAAATTCAAAAATACAACTAAAAGACAAAACGGACATCATCCAGAACCACAGGAAGGCTGGCTGAGTGGAAATTCTACAACTAGAAGGAAAGAGAAAAGCACACTGAGACTCAGAGGAGGTGTAGAAGTAAAGTGCAGAGGTGCGGAGGTGCATGCGGCAAGGGCTAGCACCTGAGGACGTGGCTGTCTTTTTGAATCGGGAGGGAGTCACAAGCCCCCAACTGCTCTGAACTCCAGTTCCGGGTGAGTCTCTGGGGACCCAGGACTCATACGGGGAGAAACTGGACTGTCTGGCAGCGGGCAGAACTCGGAACTCGAGGGCGGCTTTCTCTCAAAGGTGCTTGCAGCAATTACCGGGACACTGAGTCTCGAGGCCCCTTAGGGTAAGGCTGAGGATCAGCCATAGCTGATAGCTCCGCCCTGTTGATTCCCTGAGACCCCGTCCCACCC